TTTCCTAACTAATTTGGTGTAAGGTACTAATAATTCTTCACGATAAATAAAATAATTCACAGGTGCAGATTCAGAGGAATCGTCATTTTTTGGGCAGTTGAAATTTTCATAAAAATCGTGAATTTTACAAAAATATTATTCATTTATTTAATAATACTAAATAATGCCATTGCACGTCAATACAGAAACGGTAGATAAGATTTTATCCGTGGACATTGCTACGTCCACCCACTCTTGGGTATAGTAGCATACTAAAAAAAAAAAACGGCGAGACTGCCAGATACAATAGCCTTAATGGCAAAATGTGCAAAGGTTGCAGAGAGTCCAGTAGCTCAGGGAGATGGGCGTGGAGGTGCAGTCTCTATCTCTGCGGTTGCACCAAGGCTATGTTATAAAACTACAAGAAATTATAGCAAGAAAAAAAGAACGTATAATAATCAAACTACTTTAATGATAAGTAATTATCAAATAACAATTGTTATAACAAAACATGAAATAGCCAAGAATAGCAGATTGGTCAAATATATGGCTGCAATAGGTCAAAATACCCCCGAGAGGGGTGGTCATAAACAAATACGCGGGGTCCTAGACACCTCTAGGGTAAATTTTAGTATATATACTGGCAGGTTTACAGTCGTAACTAAGTGAACAAAGAAGGCTTTAAGGGAAAATAATAGTTCAATAATTTAACTAATTAATGAGTAGAGAAATGAATAAGACCTTGTGTCCGGTGTTTTTAGGTTACAAGCGGGCGAAGCCTCGCCGCCTGGGTCGGATGTCCTGGTACCTTCGCCCTGGTCTGTCGCCTGCACGTTCGCCTCCGTGCCTGGGGCTCGTATTGTACTGCAGTACTATTGGGGCTCTCTCTCTCTCTCTCCACAGTATATTTTGCAATTACCAGCAATTAAGGGCAGCCACACGGGGAATAACAAAAAAAAAGGCCTAGAAATGAACGTAGTTGAGGGAAATAAACGTTAATGCAGGTGATTGAATCCACCTCACAAAAGTTATATAAATGGCTTGACAGAATTAATGGAAAAGAATGTATTTAGATACCTTGGATATTGGGCGGCCTTTCTTGCAATTTTTATATGTTGCACAGTACAATTGCAAATCCAGATTAACACTGCTATCTATCAGCGATAGATACGCTAATCAGTAAAATGCAACACACTTTTAATTAACTTTAATTTACATAAATCCACAAACTGCGTGAATGACTGCTATCTTTCAAGACAGAATTCGTAGTAAATCGTCAATTTTATTTCGGTGCGAAAAACTGAACCTCTTTTTGCCTATACTCGACGGCGATAAAAGTGTATTTTAAAGGTTTCTATTAAGATTATAATATATTGCCGAAATGTACTGAATTTAAAGGTACTTAATTATTTATTTTAAGAAAATCTTAAGCCATTTATTTATTTATTTTTCGTATTTAATTTCAACCTCAAACCGTTCATTTCTGGTTCGTGCAGAAATGTTTTAAATATTGCCATCACTGTATTACATTCGTCTCTATACCGGGCGACAAAATAGACCCGTAACAACATGCCAATGGTAATGGACTTGAAGCTCGTTGTCGGTATGGTGAGGCTTGTCCTAATCGTCCAATTCGAATATTCCTCTTTCCCTCTAATATTCCCCAGACCTAAAATTTGATTAAAGCCCTATTAACTCTGAGAACTTTATACCTGTTTCGACATCCAAGGTAGAAGAGCAAATTTTGGGAGAAAACCCTGGTACTAGAGTTAGGTGGATTGCGGTTCATGTAGCTATTAGCTACCGTCTTATTTGAGGGAGCTTAATAAACATCTACTGCACCTCCACCACTTTCAACTTGTACAAGCACCCAATACAACAGGCGGTGATACAAGATTAATATTTTTATACGGGTTCTGAAAAAACAGACTAATAATCCTGGATTATCCACAGATGGAGTAACCTTTACGAGGAAGCGAATTTTCAATTCTCATACTACGTACGTTTTAGTTGACCGGAATCCATATGAAATTGACGAAGCCAAACATCAACAACGCTAATTTGAATTCTTGATTGGTACTCTAGGAGCCAGGTTAATAGAACCTGTTGTTATTGTCTATTCTATTAAACGGTCCTGTATGTTTACGCTTTTTAAGAAAGGTGTCACTGAATGTCAGTCGCGGTTTGTCGTTCATACACTATGGTGCTTTTAAGTTAACTTACTTAATACTTTAGCAGCTACGCAATATAACACACAGCTTACAATTAACCAAATTGATAGTAACATTCGTTTTCACGTGACATTAAAAGTCATGGATTTTGCTTCCATCACATTAGGATATCTTCATATGAATATTTTCACACAGTTTAATGAATTCATATGAAATTTGGTTTTTCAAATATAGCACCTGGAAACGTAGTTCAAACGTTTGTTAATTTGGTTAGGCAAATTAGAGATTTCGAAAAAAATTAAAATGGAAAGAATAGAGCAGTGAACTTTGGCTTCGAATATGTATTCAACGAAGGAATAAACTGGGAGTATCGAATAATCTTATTAAGGGACTTGCTTTAGAAGACCTTCTCAATCTATCAAGATATTTGCATATAAACAAAAGCATATTATGTGATCTACTGGAAAAAGTAAAAATTTGCTTACTAGTTTTAAATGACCTCAATAAAAGCTACACACTTTATTTTTATTATAAATCGCGATTATTTTTTAATTTTTAGTTTTCTTCAGTGGCAACAAACAATATTGACTACTTACAGTATAGATCTCGCCCACACACCGAATTCAGTTAGAAACATAATATATATTTTTCTAACAAATTCGATTTAGTGAATATTTCTGACATAGACCTTAAAAATATATATGTTGAACAATCAAGTTTCAGATCACATATTTCTCTTTAACTAACGGTATTGTGAAAACTATTATTCGTGCTAAAGCTCCGCTCAACCCTAGTTTACATCTGCAATGTCCACCAAAGAGCTAAGATCATTCATCAGCAGAATTAATAGCCAAGGCGATTTTTAATTTGTTACTATCGAAATAAATGAAATAGACCTCTGAATTTGGACATCGATATTAAGAAAACGTGTGGGAAAAATTTTAAATTTGGACCATATATAGCCTCACTATTACTCTATCGTGTGCTAATATTTTAGTTAGTTTCGTTATCCCATTTTTCATTATTAATGAAAATGTTGATCATTCCGATCCTATTTTTAAGAATATCATATTTATAACTGTATTATTTTTACAATTTTTTTCTGATTGTTGTTTACGGTTATTTACTACCTGTGTCAGTTTTTTTCTTTTTTTAAAGAACGCAATATTGTGTACTGAAATTTCAGTACACAATAGAGTAATAGTGAGGCTAAATATGGTCCAAATTTCAAATTTGTTCGCCCCTACGTTTTCTTAATATCGATTTTCAAACTTAGGGGTTTATTTCATTTATCTCGATAGTAGTTATCATGAGAGAAGAACAACTATGCTCTCTACAAGTATGCACTGAGTTACTGTTTATAATTAGATATAACACTTTTTAGGTTATATTTCATCTACTGTTAAAATATATTTATTTTTTCCGGCATTAGTTTTTAATTTTCTTATCTGGGTGTCATAAATTCTATGAATAAAAACAGTTTCGCTCTATTTCTCTCTCTCTTTCTTTGAATAGTACAGTATTTTATCCCACAGGTATGGATTATCCTCCCTATAATTAAGAAATCGTATTTTATCATACTTATATCTTCTTCAGTTTTCCCTATTGCTGTTTCGACTTACGCATTCGCAATAACTAACAGCAATAAATACTCCGCTAAAAGCAGTGTTACTACAGTACTAAAATGGTTGTGCATTACATTGTGCTTAGTATTCAGTAAAATATTAACATTAACATAAAATAGTGACATCAAAACCCATGTCACGACAATGCGACTTTTGGTTTTTACGACGTCAAAAGATATGACATTTAAACTGTCAGCATAGTCAGTCACTCAGCAAGCAAATGTTTCGATTGCCCAATCAGCTGATCGGGAATATTGGGCATGTTCTAAAATATGATTACCATGGTCAAGGTCGTTCAGGGATGAAATCGGAGCACCGATAATATACGATAATTTTGATACAAGATCACAATGACTTATAATGATAAAAACAAAAATTAATAAAGAAATCATGACAAAGATTTTTAGGTTTAAATTTGAAAACAAATATTGAAATTGATGAGCTGGAACTATTGAGCTAAACAACGTTATAAAAGTCGTTTAGCGAATTGTTTGACTTGAAAAGTCTGACCGAATTAATCCAATAATTCTGAATGCTGTACGCAGCCTTTAGCTATGGCCGCTGAATGCGCAGTGTCAAGTCCAGGAGGAGCTGCGCAGGAGCATATTCTCTATGTGAACACTGTGTAGCTCACATTGCCTTAGAATGTACAGAAGCTATTCTCCCATCTTCGTCACTTCTGTAATGACCTCTGTTGAAGGACAGTCTACCACTGAAAAACTTAGGCTAAGTTTTTGGCCAGCTTTATTCTGTTCACAGGATCTGTGGAAATTGGAAGATTTTCACAAATCAGGAGACATTGATCTGTGCATCTCAAGTTTTATCGTTGCCTGAGTATCTGATATTAGTTGACCCGAGCGTTAAACTTATTTAAAGGAAGGGTATGAGAGACAAAAAGAGATGTTGATATGGATACTTTTATTGTGACTAGATGGCTGAAAATGTTTGAACAATTACAAACGATATGCAGAGTATAATTGAAGTAAATAGGTACAATAGTTTTAGGTATCACTATACATTCTATTTAGATATCTTATAAATTATTAAGTAACAGTTTCTCTCATTCGACTCTCCACGACATAATATTACATTGCACTTTGCAGCCTTTGTATTAGCGACCTACAAAAATGGCCCTATCTCATTTAATCTGCATTTAAAATTTTCATCTAAATTGAAAACAAAAATAGTAAAACTATAACTATAAAATAAAATCTTTGGACAAATTGAAAATATTTGGCACAATAACAATGGTTATCCTTTTTTTTTGTACTTTATCAAGGTAATGCAAAAAAATTATTAGTTAATATAACTAATACCAGGCCCAACAGAACTTTTTGCACTACCTTAAATTATAGAACTAATTTGAGCAAATATAATAAATGGACGTAAGAAAAAATCATTTATTTAAACTAAAATTATGGCACGATGGAACCGGGAACATTATACCGGGTAATAATTCACCGTAATTAAAAAACTAAGGGGTTTATTCAGTTAAATAATAATTCTACTTTTTTTGATGATGGCCTAGATTCACCCCAGTAACATCATATTTTATCATCTACTATACAAGTCGACATCAAACTACATTTATTTACATTTATGATTTACATACAGTCAGACCAAGATATTGCTATTCATTTTAAATAAAAATATGTTCACATTTTCATTCTTTTTAAGGTTTTTCTTCAGATGATGCACCGAAAGAAGCAAGAAAATTACTTAATTTATACATTAAGCAGTTCTGCAACAAAAGAAAGATCCTGTACTTTTATGTTATTCGTTTTTTGCCACATTGAAAATTAATAATGGATTACATCATAAAGATCAACCAAAGTTTTGCCTAACCAATAGTACCTCACGCGAAGTAGAAATTATTTTTATAATTATACTATAAACACTATAAAACAAGACAAGTTAACGTTACTAAGAGTCAGCTGTTTATGTGATAGAACAGAATTATTTCAAAAAATTAAATTTTCAAATATGAAGAGGAATTCTTTAAACATGTATTATTAGTTAATCATTTTGTTGAGAAAAGTATTGAAAATAAAAATAGTTTCAAAAATAGCAACAAAATGTTATATACTTATACAATAAATATAAAATATTTAAAATTTACTTGAAAAATTATTGAAAACAATTGATAATAGGTTTTATGTTAGGACAGTTTTTCTAACCGGTAATATGTTCCGGACAACTGCCTCATTAAGAGTGTTGGTCAAATATTACAATAGAAAGGGAAGAATTTGAAAATTTGCATATATGCGTGGCAAAACCCATGTTCGTCAATAAAATAACACAAAAATGTTGGAAAAGAAAGTAATTCGATAGAAATAAAACCAAAATTTCGTTTTACCTTTATGGGTTGATTTCATAATCACACTGAAGTTGACTTTAAAACAAAGTTTGTTAATTACAATAGTAACATATTTTGTGACAATACTTTAATCCTATATTAAAAAAAGACATTTTAGTCTATTATGGAAGCAACCCTAAATGGTAGTAAATTTGTTTCAAATGGTTTTTTAAATTATAACAATTATGGGTGGGATATTTTTAACGACGAAGTAAGTAATGAAATAAATATTTTGTCACCATATATTTCTATAAAAGGTAGAAAAACAAAACAAATAGGTCACATTTGATTTTCAGTCCTTTTAATAAGGTTAATAAAAATTATTTACCTTCCCCAAAGAGATAGGTACTTTTGGTATAGATAAACTATATTTATAACGTTTTCGAAAGGTTTATTGATTTATATACTTTTCCTCAATGTGGCAGAAAACCCAATAAAATAAATAATTACAAACAATGTAATTTGTACTCTCAATTTGTTAATCGCTATCTATCATCCAGATTCCATGTAGCTAAAAACACTTAAAAAACTCGAGATAAACTTGTTGATCATATTTTTACAATCAAAATAGTAGAAACCTCGCAGCCATTTTGATAACCTTATCACTATGATTTGATTGGAGATTGGGGTATTTGCTTGTGCGAAATTCCGTTATCTTATCAATCGTCTTGGTCTTCGTGTTTCAACTGGGCCCCTAGGGGCTCATCGTGTTCTCAGCCGGGCCTCTCGCCGACCCCTATGCCACTGCCTGCATACTGGCAAGCGGACAAGCCCGCTGAGCTGGATCTGACTGGGCTAACGCTCGAATAGCCCACGAATCCAGTATGCTGCTTGGCCTTTAACCTAAGGGAGGCTATACTAGACGACATTGCGGTGCAAGGCTCTGTAGCCGCTCTATGGTGATACATAGAGTAAGGGTTAGCCGGGGTGGTATAGGGGCAGGGTTGGGCCGAAACGGCGCCGGGTGTGCTGGTCATCACGGTACCCATGGCGCCTGGAAGCATGGAACTAACTGCACCCGTCATCGAAGCTCCAGCCACCGATGTAGCGGCGTTGAAGCAGTTGACGGGGCTCTGGTGGTGGTTGGAAGGGACGACGGGCCAGAAGGGTTTCGTTCCCAGAGGACTAGGGACTTTGGTGGCCCAGTTATTGTACGTGGAATAGGAATAAAAGCCATCGTCGCTGATAGCGGGCATCAGTCCATTGAATTGGGTTCCAAAACCGGTTTTGAATTCAGCAGCTGCGTTCATGGCGTTCATAGCATTCCGCTCCCGTTTTCTCCATTTTGCTCTTCTGTTTTTGAACCACACCTGGAACAACGAGAAACACGTTAATTCTACTAATAGCTTAAGCTACCATAAAGGTCATCATATAAATATAAAGTCAATTTCGTCAGTTAAACCAATGTGGGTAAAATTTGAGAATATTTTTAATATGTAATACTACTATTTTAAAATTGCACAATTTGGCAAGGTCGAATGTGATCTAATATATGGTAGTCATTAGAATGGAACATTGAATAAAGGAGACAAGAAAAGTGGTCCAAATACAATCTTTAAGTCATAGACAATTCAAAATATAGTTAGTTAGAAACAACTGGAATTCTGTTATTAATTATAACAATAATAATAATATCTTTATTTCCAAAAGACAAGTAAAAGTCGTTCAGCACAAAAAATGAAAAGGTCATCCACAATTTTGGAAATCTCAAAGGGAAGTTCACAACAAGTGTGCTCTACCACTTAACCCTTGGATACCATATATCTAATATAAGCACCGTAGTCAGTATTACATTACAGTAAACACATAAATTACAACAATAATAACAATAACAGCATTAAATAAGTAACATTCCTAAGAAAATAACATTGTCCTAACAAATCTTTTGAATTTTGCAAAACTAAAATATCCTGCACCGAGTGTGAGGCTGTTGTACAACCGGTAAATATTGTATTTATAACCTCTCTCAAAAAAAGACGTTTTATGTTGATGAGGGCTGAGTAAACTTTTGGATCTAATGTTGATATTATTCACATCACTGCGAAATATAAATTTGTTATATAAATAAGGTGGAGTCTTAGTAAGTAAAAGTTTATGAAAAAGAAACCAAGTGAGTAAAGTTTTCTCCGTCTGAACATATCCAACCAGTCAAGTTCATGCAACTTATGCGTGATAAAATTTGAAAATACTAAAAATTAAACGTATACAGGCGCTGAATGAGGTTCCTGCTGTCAAGATCTATAGTACGATCATATTCGATGCAAAGTAATAAATCATTGCCTGTCAAGGGAACCAATGAAGTACGCCTTTAAGGGTTTTACAAATTGAATAATTTCTTTATACATTATGAAGGGACGAGGGGATCAGTTCAGGTCTGGCACCCTTGTTGCTACAAAAATTCCTTTATTCTCATAAAGTATTTATTTTAAATGTAATTTATTATAAATCCAATTTGTTTCCTAAATTCCACATATGTACTACATTTTACCTCTGTACGCGCCACTGTTGTTTACTTGTTTTTTGGAAGCGCTCTCTAATTGGCAGCAAAGCTCGCCAGGTTAGTATTTGACGTATAACCGACCAGTTCGTACACTCGATGCACCTGGGCGACTACAGCTACTACCAGACACAGTGCGTATGCAGCGGTATTTCAGATTTTACATTGAATTTCATTTTAAATTTGAAATGATTTATCTTACGCCTCCTAAAAATGATGACACGATTTTCCTTTGATAAAAGGCCGACAATTTTTTGCTCTACTTTGCATCGTATACGATCCTACTATAGGCAATGTCAGGGGCAAAAAATGAAAACTGGAATAATATCAATGTCTCGCAAAGCATTTCCTTAGTATTTAAGTTTAGATATTTACGATGGGGATACAGAATCCGTAATCCTAGGTATGCTCGTTGGGTCATTGTTTTAACTTGCTCCCTGAATCTTAAGTTGGAATATAAGGTTAAATCTAAATTTTTTGCACTCTTAGAAAATTCAAGCAAATGCCCATTTATATTAATCTTAAAAGGTTTTAGACTTCTTACCGAATAAAAGTAAGGCTGTTTTAGACGGATTTAGACTAAGAGAATGCTGTAAGGAAATATCAAATATTGTATTTAATTCATCATTTACCTTATGCATAGCTGATTGATAATCTTTAGGATAAAGCGAGTAATATAATTGAGTGTCGTTAGCTTACTTGTGAATGGAGCAATATTTAACAAATTTTGAAAATTGTGATGTATAAATTGTAAACAACAAAGGACCTAAGATGGAACCCTGGGGGGCTCCTTTGCAGATAGGTCTAGGTTAAGATAGGTTTTCAGAGATTCTCACAAACTGTGATGTGTTATTAAGGTATGAATATAGCAACTCAATGCTATCATGCTCAAAACCACATGATTTTAAAATTGCGATTAAAACATCATGATTTATCCTGTCAAATGCCTTGCTGTAGTCAAGTAAAGTGTATATATTCAGTAGCGTCCACAATATCATCAATAATGTGCATTAGCGCTGTAATTTTCTAAGTATTCACGAATTTCAATTTCAATTATCTTTTCCGCAAATTTCGACAATCCTGGTAAAATACTAATAGGGTGTAAATCGGAAAAAGACTTAGGATCACCTTTCTTAGGAATTGGCGTCATATTGTTTGTGATAATAATTTCATAAAAAACAGATTTTCTATCAAACAAAAAGGGTGAAGTTGTTGGGTAATTTCCTTAACGCATCCCTTAAAATAAAAATTCCAATTAGGAATAAACCTGGCGACAAACTTTCAAATCACATAAGAACATGAACAACTGATTATACAGGGTGTCACCTAATTTTTTCCACATAAAAAATGTATACCTATCAAAAATCAACATTATGCTCGGTTATGAAGATAATACAGAAAATATTTATTAACATACCCCATAATTTTTGGATTCTAAGGTTCTATATATTATACCCTTGAAGTATGTAACATTCGTTAGGTGACACCCTGTAAATAGTACGTGTCTATTTATCATATGTATTTTTGCTGATTACACTTCTATAGAACAGCCATATTCAACCCTTTTGTGGGTTTGGGGTTTACACAACATTATGGGTTTTATGAACTCCTTGGTTTTTCTTAGTGCATTTTAATAAAAGTTTGCTTTTAAAATATTGTTTTTACTTTTTTATTTTTCATTTATATATTTAAGGCTACGAAGACGCATTGTTTTGATTTAAATATATGTTATAGTTTAACGGATAAAAAAATGTGTTCATGTATTCAGCAAGAAATTACATGAACTACCCCCACTATATCTTTTAAATATGTTCGGGGCGCCCTGTATAAACATGGAATGATTCCAAGGTCTTGAGTTATTGACTGCCGCTGCCGATTTTGCATACTAACTACCAACGTATAAAAAATATTAAAACGTCATGGGAACAAGGGCCGGAAAGCGGAATGAAATTTTCCGCTGTAACAACTCAATCAGCGCGTAAAAACATAACCGGCGTATTTGGAAAATTACTTTTTAATGTGCGCAACGGCACGCGTTCGCGGCCCTCCTAACAATTCAAAGCGCGTTAATCGTATTAGCCATGCCACACATTCTCACGCCTCATCTACCGGCGATTATGTCAGCTTCCCTTCTCAGTATCATTACTTATTTCATTCGGCTGCCGCTGGCCAGGGAAGTACGCAACTATCTTTCAAATACATTCAAGTATTTATAATTTTTTCTCTTATTTTCAGTCACAGGTGAAATATTGCTTGCTAATTTAGGAACACCCATTCCCATTGAATTTTATTTATTTCACAATTAATTTAAAAAAAATCAAATTAGACGTTGAAAATAATATTTCAAAAAACTCATTCCTATTTTAACAATAATTTGCCTAAATTAATTACAATTTGGATTGTCTCTTTGCTGAAATCCTTAATTCATTAATAATATTTATGACATTTTAGGTATGCTCATATTGGCCATCCCTTCAAATAATTTTGGATTATCTACTTTATTTATTGAATTGAATCATAAAAGGTCCAATTTAACTGATAATTATGTTTTACCTACATGCAGCAGAATGGACAACCACGATATAAGTTATACCACAATCCTATCAGAATTTTATATTAACGATGGGATGTTATGTTCCACCTTGCATACGTCAAAATAATTAAAAAGTCTATTTGGTAATTTCAAGTTACAAACTACAAGTTATAACAGACACTAGGAGCAGAACCAAAAGACATCATTCTAGCTTTGAATTCATATGCTCAGCAATCTCAGTAGGTGGAAGAAATATTTTTACTTATAGATTTTTTAGCTAATTATTACGTTTTATTATTCGCAGTACTCAAAAACTAAATTAGAAATGAATAAGTGGAACATCAGGTTGCGGTTTTTTTTTTGGCGTACTTACATTTATATTTGATGCTGACAATTTATTTTCATGTAAATATTTTCAGAAACGTGACCACCACTATACATCCTAGTTCTGAATTATTAAAATATTCTAATGATTAGGCTCATCTTTTTTACATCACCATAATTCAAAGAACATAGCATCTGAATAACTCAGAAATTATCTATCGGGGCTCTTATTATTGCGTTACAACATTTTTGTATAACTTAAAATAATCTTAATGGTAAAATCATGAAGACATAAAATTACATTAATATAGACTATACGCTGACTTCTTGCAGTCCATCAAAATCTTTCAATTACGTTTTAAATGTATACAAGGTGTCCTCCAAAATGAAGAAGACTTTTCAAAAATAGGTATTTCTATTGAGGCCATCTATTGTCAATTACATGCGTCGGAAAGGTAAATCTTTCACTGACGTACTGCCAAAATGAGCATCGATAATATTAAGTTTTGTTTTAAACTTGGTAAAACTTTTGCCGAAACTTTTCAATTGATGAACCAAGTGATGATTGTTTATGCCGTGGCAGAGTTCATAAGTGGTACACTTGGTTTAAAAACGGTTGTGATGATATAAATGATGAGCAACATGTTGGCCAACTGAAATCCGTGATCACCGCAAATTATATCAAAACTATGCGTGAATTCATCAAAGATCAACCAAAATCTTCATTGAAATTCATGGAATTGGAATTGAGTATTTTAAAAACATTAATTTATCGCATTTTGGACGAACATTTGGCTACAGAAAAGTGTGTGCACGCTTTGTTCCGTACTAGTTGACTGACGATCAAAAATTGCTCATAATTCGACATTTGAAAGATATCATCAAGGAGGACACAAAGGACAAACACTTGCTTTACATAATTGTGTACTGATGATGAAATCTAGTGTTTTCAATAT